GAGAAATAAAAAATACAGAGAGGGTTTGGGGGGAGGTAGAGAACGACATAGGAGAGGGGAACAGAGAGGTCAAAGAGCGGAGGAAATTCACTACACGTGTTAGCCGTTCGTTTTCCATGGGATACGCGGAGGAAAGAAGTAACAAAAGAGCGGAGATTCAACGAAGAGGAGATGCCGTGAATCGAGCGGATCGAGATAAAATGGCGGGACGGTAAACGAAAGAAAGTGGCTGGACGTATCGCGTGTGACAGTATATCGTTGCGTGTCTCGTGCGGTCACATGGATCACGTGGTAGTCCGTGCCCCTTCCCTTTCTGACCGCGGGGGTTTCTATGGTGGGTGGTGGGGATGTCAACTGTGATTGGAAGGGATGTAGAAAAGGAGAAATGGTAGACGATTCTTAGGATAGAAAAAGAGGAGAAAGAAGAGGATGAGAAAGGATAGAGAGAAGTCTTAAGAAGATATTGCTTCGACACCGATAATGATCACGTGTGAGGTAAGTGTATATATACAATATATATTTACTAATTTATATTCATTCTGCAAGCGTAGTTTATTGAAACAATTATTATAGCAGAAAAAGAGATTATTAAGTTTCCCTAATAATAAAACCAGATATATATCATTCAATATTACTCTTATGGAAAAAATTTAAACATCATTCTACAAATTTATAGTCTTTATCTTTGTTACAGAAAAAGTAAGATAAAATAAAGAAATAACTCTTTAAGATGCAAGATAGATAAATGATATCGTAGATCATTATCTGCGACAGACAATATATACACACGCGGTATATCCCATTCTTTGCCACAAGATGTCGGCTTAAATCGTCGTTTGGCAATGCCTCCGGGGTTCCGCCAACCCGCTTAAATCGTATACTTGGCACACGAGCTAATTGGTCGTATCTCGCGTTAGTCGGTGTGCTTTATCGCACCATCCGTAACCGGTCGAAAAGCATTCGCCAGCGTTCCAACGAGCAATTTAACGTAACGTGAAATGGGTAACGCGCTTGCCGCCACTCGATTTTTCACTCACGGCGCTTCCACGTGGCGCACGGGACCACGTGCTGACCGGAATACGTCTTACGATCGAGAACACTCTCGCTCATATTTTTTCAGACAATTGATACGTCATAAATCGTTATCGCAGATATACCTCGACAAATTGTATGTATATATTTTGTTTGAAGGATAAAATTTAGAATCGATATTCACATTTCAATTGGGTTGTCCATAAAATCTTGTTAAATAATCTATTTATAAAAACCATCTTGTATCGGGTGTTTTTTTTATATATCTACTAGCAAAAATTTACGCTTTCCAAATTTATACATTTCGAAATTTATTCTTTATAAACATAATTCTTTATAATAATCCCATTCGTTGTTTAAACTTAAGTTTTTCGAACATTTTCATTTCCTTTTCATTGATGCTTATTATAACATGTGGCGAATGCAAGTTTCTCGCAGAACACGAAGAGAACGTCGAAAGCTTGCCGCATCTGTGTCTAGCTGCGGCGAGCCGGACATGAAATTGAATTCGTACCGTGAATAACGACTAACAAACCGCAGTTATATCGTAAAAAGCAATGCAGCGGGATGTGAATTAATTCTGGCTCGCACCCCACAGGCCATCCCAGAGCCCTTTTTCCCTCTCCGTCTCTCGTCGCGCGTGCACACGAGCGTCTCTCGTTTCCTCTCTCGCGGTACTTCTCTCCTCCAACTGGAACGGTCCCAAAATTCAATAAAGGCGAACGAGTACGAGGTCTCTCCCTCGTCTCCGTCGCTTTCTGTATGGGGTGGTGGCGACTATGGGGTTAGGAGTACCGGAGTCATCGCGAGGACCGGAGGGTGAGATGGAGGCTCGGTGCATACATTAGCGGGGGTAGCGTGTGGAGATATTGTCTGAACAAAGGGATCGGCTCGTACCTATCGAAAAGGCGATTAAGCGAGGATAAAGTTAACTTCGCCTTAGGCACTTGCACTGAAAGCATTCTCGAAAAGAACTTTCGTTCTGTGATTCCTGATGATACTGCGCGATATCGTAAATTTGCAGCGATAAAATTGGATGCAATAAATGCATTAAAACTCTGTTGGAATAATTCACAAGATCGAATCACAATAATTTGATAACCTCTTGAATTTCGTGATAATTAAGATGTGAAAAATTATCATATATCAGTGACACGAAGTGAACTCTTTTTTGAGAATTTTTTAATTCCCTTTAACATGCCGTTCAAATTCCGAAAGTATTTGAATGAATCAATTACAGTCTATTAAAGCCACATTTGCGAAGCGACAGAAAAATTAACGTTATTATTATTCACGATACGTTATGCGATTTGGCAAACTTGACACTGTAGCCAAGACAATGAAGGTGGAAAAGCAAATCGCGCGCGAGGTGGAGAGAAATAGGACGATATCGAGGATAGCGGGGGCTGACAGGACACAATATTGCAATAACTTCAATTACGGCGACACGACGGATTGCCGTGGGGTGGATTCGCGTCCGTCCTCCGCCCGCGCGCCGCCCGAAGCGAACCAGCCAGCCACCACTACCCGTTCTATCCATTTATATATCCGAGTGACACAAACGTCGTGGTCGAATTGGCTGTCGGATCTGAAAGGGGCTGCCTTTAAACAAGTGCTTCTTAATAAACCATTGACGCGCGAAACCACCCTCGAAAATTTGCCCCTCAGCGCTGTGTCGCCACCCTTCCTTAGTATCTTGCGCCACAAGCTTCTATAGAGGGACTTTTAGCTTTCGTTACTTCGTTAAATTCAGAAAGACGAAACGCATTCCACGTCGCGGAATAAACGTAACGAAGCGTCCTGATGTTTTTAGACTGAAAATTTGGACGCGCGTCAGGTTTACAAATCAGAAACGATCTTATTGACACGAGCCAATTATCGCATGTTTAGAAGTTTATTCGATATTCTGCTTTATAAAGCTAATGGATATATTTAATTAATCCAATATCTATTTGTGTATAAATAAAAAAGAACAGTATATGTATGTACATTACATCGATTTAATTTTTTTATTTAATTCACAAATTAATCTATTATTGTTTTCTTCAATAATGTTTACAAAATAAAAATTATAAAAGCATAAATTATTATCGCAGATAAGCGGTCTATTTAACTCGCACGTGACAATCAAGATTAGTATGAAACTTTTTCGCCGTGAAAAGAATAAGAAATGCTTTTACATAATTTTATTTGATTGTAGAAAAAGAATTGGTCGAACAAATTTTTGAGACAAGGCCGACGACCTTGCCGCGAAGTTTAGTCTAGTGGTGACTTATCGACCGCCCGCTGCAGGGAGAGCGAACTCTGGAAAAATTGTGCAGAGCCTTTTGCCCCGCGGGCTAAGGGTATTTCACTAGGGGTGGGCACGCACCCTTCTTCCTCACGTCCCACTCGAAATTTCGCTCGGCTAGCGCTTTTTTTAACATTTATTTGACAGCTGTCGTCCGCAATGCGTGCACGTTTACCTACTACGCAGGGTTGTCTTCGTGTCGAAATCTTTCGAGGACAGAAACGACCAGTCTAAACGGCACCCTTGAAAGAAATAGGGGTAGTAAAAACTTAAGAACAAACGCTGACGTGATCGACCAAGATCTTTTCGAGTCTCAGACAAAAAGGAGCTTTTATATTTTATTAAAATTTTTTATTAATTTTTCTATAGAAAATATCCAGTCTTCTTTTTGACGTGTAATATTCTGTTGCGGCCAATTTACGATGCGTTGGAATTCGTTCAAAACTATGAAATTATAAGGTAATGAAAAGAATTACATAATTGACTTGTACGGTCGTAATAATTTTTCATGGACAGTTTTACAAGCTACAGTTTATACACCAAGTATCTAACGTCTGAAATGTCAACCGTATATTTATAGCACGTTAATTACATTTCAGCTATCATTTCTTTACCAAATAAAAGGATATGCTAATAATATCTCTTGACAATAGTTATGACAATATGATTGTATAATACAATAAGACTAGAATGGAATAGAGATTAAATTTCTTGAAAGAGAATTATTATAAATATCTAAGATATTGAAGGTAAATTTTGCATTTTCCTTTAATATTAATTTGATATGCTCCAATTACTTACACCCACGATTGCTAATTGTGGAACAACGTTTTGTAAAAAATCAGCAAGGAAATAACTAATAATCACGTAATGAGTCTCCGAGAGTCTGTCACGCAACGCAAACGAATTAACGATATCGTCGAGTCAGGTTAATTACCGCCCATGACCCGCGCGACAGAATGCGTGGTCGCGACATCCCACTTTCCCTGTATTTGTATTTATACTTTCCATAGCGTTGAGGTACGTACGAAAATTGAATGCCATAAGCAACACGGCATAACGTAATTGTATTCATCGCATCATCATATAATATTTTCTATAAAATTCAATATTAATCAAGAAAGAATAATACGAATGAATTTGTTATCAATTTGTTTCTAAAAAAAAAGTAACCTTCTGTCATAATCTTTTTTTTTCACAATTTTATCAAAAAAGAAAATTAAGAATTCTGACATACGTCAAATTAATTTTGCCAAAAACAAATCGGGATCTTCTATCGCTAAGGTTTCGTAAATCGATACCCATTGCCGCGCATCAAGGAGTCTTCCTTTCCCTATCGAGCATGTCCAAGAGAATGATAAAACGTTTAACAGTAGATAATCGTAGAGAGAAAGAGAGAGAGAGAGAGAGTAGAACCTCGATAAATCTAACGCGATCTCGTTGAGTCGACCCATTCTCCGATCACCGATTTAAGCTCGTTTCGGATACAACCCCCAGAGCGAAATCTCGATAATGAAGCAGAAACTCGTGCGTTTTTTCCTCCAAGTCGTAGCAAAAATAAAGAAAACGAGCGACTGCTGTGTCGCGATGTTGCCCAGAATGTGACGTCCGAGCCTGAGAACTTTGTCAATTAGACGGCAATAATTAATCGTAGCCGCCAGACAGATAGCTGCGGAGTGATAGGTAATAACTAATAACGGATCATTGACCGCGGTAACTCGCCTCTCCTTCACATGTGCCTTATGTTCGCCGCGGACTCGTTTATAATATCGCGTTACAAGATGTCCATTGCGTCCGAAGAATGTGGTTTACCGCACAATGTTACGTAATTGTCCGTTTTCCCAGATGTTTCTTCTATAAATGTTGTCGATCATTCACGAGTTTAATCTCTGATTAGAAGAAACGGTATGTCTTACAAAACGCTAAAGTTTAGAAGTGAACACTCGATGAAGAATATTTCTCTAGAGCAAAGCAACGTAAAGATCAAGCAATATTAAGAAAATATTTTGATGTTTATTATTAAATTATTATGAAATAGTATTTTAACTATATATAGTCGTATACAGCATACTTCATTCTTCTATCACACTGTAAAAAATAAAATGTTAATTTTAACTCAAAGACGTTGAGTAGATTTTCTGAGACATGCAAAAATGTTAAAATTAACATTTTT